CTGACTCTGAAACCGCTTAGAGAGGGCTGAAAGCCCTATGAAGCGGTATATAAGTCTAACTGCTATTGCTAAGTTAAATTTCCTCATTTTAATTATGCGTACAATTGCAGTTGACTTTTTAAAAAAAGACAGAGGTTATCAGTAACGTGACTGAAGACCACGCTATCTCATCCCATCCTCAGCATCCTACAAACAATATATTACCAACAGCCATACCCAGAACTCGATCAGTAAAAACTATCAGTTTCTTATATATTATTATTAATTATATTATTTTTATGAAAAATTCAACAGGCAGACAAAAATGGAATTGGTCAGAACTTTCCATTAATTAATGTTTTACTTTTCAAACACGTCAGCCGTTACGCTTCTAACAAGCTACTGAAGTGCTATATTCTGTTACCAAGCTATTACATTATTCAATTTTCCCAGGTCAAACATATCTTTCAAAGTTGTAACAATAGTGGCCCGCACAGTGTTTCAGCAAACCAAAAGTTATTATTTATCACAACTAAAATTGGGAGTGCCTAGTTCCATGTAATTTGCTCCAGGCTATTTAATTCATGACAGAGGAATAATTTTGAATACAAAACTTTCCACCTATAACCCTTGCTACTAAATTATGTATCTCATTAAATGACTTTTGTTCCAAAACTCTTTACTCATCTGTTTGTCAACTAAGCAGAGGGCTCAGAAGGATAAAGTGGAGAATATATAGTCCTATTTTATCTACCTTCAGTGTAGGCATGCTAGCAGTCCAATCTGACTCCTGAAAGTGTTTCCAACATTAATTTACTTCTCACTAAGAAATTCCCAAAAAGTTTCTGAAGAATTATCAGGATCCTCAGAACGCTTGAATCCTTGAAGCTATCTGATGGGAAAAGCCTGAGGCTACAAACACACTGTATCATGAGTACATTGAATGAAAGTTGCCTACAGTTGGCATCAGGAAAAATGGGCAGCATATAAAGCTAAAGCACTTCCTTATCCAGTGGAGTCCAAATGTAGGGACACGTGTGCTTTATCTCTGTTAGAGATAAAGCTAAGGAAGCCAGTGTTGTCCAAAGATACTTCCATGGTCATGCCAAGGCACATGGAATGCTGTTACCTTCCCATTGAAGTGAGACTTATTTATTTACTTGCATGTACATGCTTTGAACTACTAGTTGGCCGGAGCTGGGGCAAGTAATGGGAGTTCACCACATCATGCTCAAACCTAGGTAAGCATCTTGAACCACTGAGTCATTGTGCCCCTATGGAAGGGATATAGGTTGAATAAATCAATCAATAATAAATAAAAGTACTGAAGGGAAATTTCAGTTTGGAGAAAAACCTTGCAACTATTATTATTATTATTAGCATATGGCATTGTTACATTAACTAGGAGACTACAATGCTAATAGGAGTAGTAGTTTGCTTATTTACCAGCTCTACAGGTACATGCTTGCACACTACCCATGGTGCGCCACAGAAGGGCAGGCTGGCTTTGCACCAGAAAGATAAGCAGCTCTTCCTGCTGCAATATCCGATTCCCCCTCCCTTCTCTGGAGTTGCTTCACAAAGGGACATTGCAACAGGGAAGGTTCAGGGCCAGTAGAAATCTGCCTGCCTGCACTGCCTGCCTCAACTCATCTCCTATTTATCTACTTGCATAGAACATCCTTTTTTTAACTGCAAGGTAGGCAGAAGCTAACTGATGGGAGTTTATCCCACTGTACAGTGCTAGGGCTTGAACCAATGGAACAGAGACCATCTCTAACATGATCAAGCTACTGAGCCACCACACCCCAACTTTGAAATTGTGTGTAACTTACTCTAAAGCAATGAAACATATTTTATGTTATTCAATTCACATAGGAAGAACAACTTACCTGGCTGCTCTGTTACATCCACTTTGGCAATGTTCACTTCAAGATCCTCACTCCATTCGGCAAAGCTTTCCCATTCTGGCTGTAAATTCCGACAGGCAGGACACCAAGGAGCATAGCTGAAAAATAAATGCTATATAACCAATTGTTACACAGAAAAAAAAACATTTTCTGAGAATAAAAGCTGCAGGTGTCTTGGAGTACATACCTGCTATATGTTAATATGATTTATGAAAACTGTAGTTTTCATAAACTACAGAAAACTGCAGCCAAATATTTATGAAAGTAGAGCAAAACTGGTTACAATATAAGAAATATTCAAGATTAAAAGGGGCAAAATTTTAAAGGAAGAATCTATGCCCTGCGCACAAAATCTTCTTAGGTTGTTCCTTGGTATATCTAATTCAATGGATATAAAGTTGTGATGGCTAAAAGAGCCTCTTTCCTTAAGAATTTCAACAACTATCTTCAACTAGAGGTAATATTCTGGAGTAAACAAACCACTGAGGTTCTACTCAGTAATATAAAGCAGCTTGCAGTCATAAAATCTTGATCAATCAACTTCACTGGATTCTATGATACACAGAACTTGTTTTATTATGTTAACTTACTTCATATGACAATTAATTAACCTTACTAATTACAATAATCCAATAACAGGAGGCGTAATGCTCTTGAATACGCATGGAGTATCTCACTAACCAAGTGCTAGAGAGGTATAAAGCATTCCATTCATTAACTGTTTCAAGCACAAAGCAGCTAGCTTTAGGTGATTTGTGTCAAACTCATATCCATGTTTTGCTGTGGTCAGATGTCATTGGGAGTCAGGGGGGAAAGCAAATACTATGGTGCTGATGGAGGTTGGGACTCCTCTTAATTGCCCAGCCTAGATGCACATGTCAGTACATTGGCAGTGGCTGAATTGAGGGAGAAAAATGTGATATACTACACTGGAAAAATGGAAGATGGACTAATGGGATATACTAAACAAAGCATGGGGAAAATAGGGCATTTAAGGTTTAACACACTTGTGAGACTGTGACTTGCACACCAGTTTTGGCCTACTCATTTTTTGTTTCAGTCAAAAGTTGGAACTAGGTGCTTCTGCTTTCAGTTTTGGAAAAGTGGCTGGCATGAAACAGCACAGTTCCTCCCATTCAGACATACCGGTTTGTACTGGGTAGAAACTTCCCTCCCCCAAAGAATTACCACATCAAGGAGCTGAAGAAACATCTGGGATTAGAAGCTAAACATCTTCAAACAAAAACCAAACCAGAAAGTCTAGTTACACTTTAGGGATTACCAAATCAAGAATGCAAAATTCCGCATGGCCCATGTCTATTTATTATTTTTATTTATTTATTTCGTCAAGCATGATTTAGATAACAAATATAAGTATAAACATGATTATGAATACATGAAATGAATACGATTACAAGGGAACATTAAGACAGGGAGGTGCACTTATGCATGTCCATCAACTATGGTTACTTTTAAGATGCATGGACTCTATTTCCAGCAACATGCTGGGAATTCTGAGAGTAAAGGGTCGTTATAGCCCAATATTTACAAACAATTAACGCTCCCAATCATTAAACAGCCAGCCGCTAAGGAAGAGAGTGGAGGATCAGGGCATCCTGACAAGCGAAGGCGGGTGCGGAGTTAGCCCTGAACAGATACAGAGTCCTCCTTTTCTAGAGGGCTGGACTAGATGATCTTTGCGGTACCCTCCCCATCCTACGATTGCTCCGGCACTTCGGGGGGGGGGGGAAGAGCCGCTTTTCTCCGCCCGCCACGACTCACAATTCCACCATCCACTCGCCCTGCAGCAGTTCTTGCCACGCTCCGTCAGTCAGTAGTTTGACTCGATTCCTTCTGGTCAACGCGGGTCCCGGCACGATAAGCAGCAGCAGCAGCAGCAACATCGAGGCGAGCGGTGTCCAGGCAGACCTCGCTGAGGAGCCACGGAAGGGAATAACGGCCGCCATCATCTCGGACGACTTCCGCCTTGGCAGGGCGCCAGGAAGCCAAATCAGAAAGGATGCCGGGAAAAGCGGCGACTCATCCCGAAAGAGAGAGGGGGGGGGGAGACCAGGCGCGCGCGCGCAGGCGTTTCCTTGCTTCCGCTGCCCGTGGTTACCGGGGGGGGGTTCCTTTCCTCCCCGCTCTTGATTGATTTGGAGAACAGCGAACCAATCAACGCCTCGCCTGGATCCTTTCGCCCCGCCCTCCGCCCCCCCCCCCTCTTCTTTTTCCTCAGCTTTGGAGCTGCTTTCATGACAGGCTCGGTGTCGCTCATTCGCCGACTTTTCAAGGCGACGGAACTCCGGCACCAGGCGAATTAAAACGAGTCAAGAATTGCTTGTTTGTTTTTTCTTTCCAAAGGAATAATAAAAACACGACGTTTTAAAAATATTTCCCGTGTTGTTTTTTGTTTATTTAAATGCGTTAGGCATGACATTTCTTCCCCGATGAATAGGGCACTTGCTTGGTTATGGCTTGTAAATAATAATATTTTTTTTATTGTCAGTGCACAACATATGTACAATGAGATTGGTTGAGTTTCCTCAGTGCGCCCCCCCAACACAATACAACTCACAATGAAGACAAAAAGGGGGAAAAAAACCTAATCCAATAGATCATATTAACAAACACCCAGTCCCATTACACCAGTGTGAACAAGTTATCCCTTGCCCAGGCCCTGTAAGTCCATCGTACTACTTACTTATGAACGATGTTATTTCACATTCAGGAGTCTGACAGCTCAGGGATAAAAACTGTTCTTCAGCTTGTTTGCACCTGGCTATGCTTCTATATCTCCTTCCCAATGGTAGTAAAAATGCAGTAATTCCAGAACCCTCCCAAATTCCTTCTCCGAAGTGTAAGTGGGACCTTAATTGAAGGATCCTAATGTGCCACAGAACAATGTTTAAAAAATCCCCCTTTTCCGAATTAACTGGAATCTCCTCTTCATATAGGCTTGAGATATTCAAGATATTCATTGGGTGATATTCTACCCAATGTGTTTGGACAGGGTTAAAAAGGTTCAGGGAGGCAGCTTTCATATTGTATCATCATCGCACTTTCAGTCTAAGAGATAAATGGAACAAAGCAAGATACTAGGAACTTAGACTGAAGTAAACTATACACCTCTACAGGTTGTTGTTGTTTTAATGATTGCCTCCTAGGTGGACGGTTTGCAGTTAAAACTAAAACAAGATCATAAACAGAGTCATGGTTTGACTTATGAACCATTTCTCTTAACAATTGAGTTGCTAATAATTCCAGATGTGGTTGCAACAAGAAGATTGTGTAAGGGATTGTTGTAAGAAATTAATTTGAGATATTTAAATTGGGCACTCCACCCAAAATATCTAAATAATGTTCATCTTCAGAAACAGTTTGTTATAGTAGATAGGAGTTTATCATGGAGCAATACAGATCGTCCACAATTTACAGTTTATTTACTGACCATTCAAAGTTACGACAGCACTAAAAATTGTGACGATTATTTTTCACACAATATTGCAGCATTTCCACAGTCACAGATCAAAATTCAGATTCTTGGCAACGGGCATGTATTTATGATGGTTGCCGGGATCATGTGATCCCCTTTTGTGACCTTCTGACAAGCAGAGTCAATGGGAAAGCCAGATTCACTTAACAACTGTGTTACCAATTTAACAACTGCAGTGATTCACTTAACAATCCTGGCAACAAATTGGTAAAATTGGGGCAAAATTCACTTAACAACTTAGCAACAGAAACTTGGGGCTCAATTGTGGTTGTAAGTGGAGGACTACCTCTAGTACAAAATGAAAGTTGGCTTTTGCCTAGAAGGCTTGCTATTCTGAGATGTATTTTCGTGTATCTAAAAATTCTTTTTTTAGAAATTATTTTTTGTTCCTACTGAGATAAATTATTCACCCAAATTTTTGTAAGTCAAATATTTAATATCCTATTATCTAATATGTATTTGTAATCAAATTATATCTTGTTTCATTTCTTTTAAATAATGTTTTTTTCTCTTTTAAGGGGTATGTACTTCATTTACATTCCATATTAAGCAATTGTAATCCCATAATGAGGCTAAAAATTTAGAAAAGTCAACAGCTATACCCAATTCAGGACTATCACTTTCATTTTCCAGTTGCATGTATAGAGGTTTTTGTGTAAACTCATCCTGTCACACGCATTTGTATTGTCTCGTGTTTTGAATTATTCTAAATATTCTCTTGCTTCCTGCACAGAATTCAGTTAAAATCTATGTTATTTGAAAGTAAAAACCATTCTTGCAATTTGTTCCATCAAAATACTGTATTTTTCGGAGTATAAGATGCACTTTTTTCCCTCAAAAAAGAGGGTGAAAATCTGGGTGCATCTTATACATTGAATACAACCTTTTTGGTCTCCTGAAACTCCACCCCCTTTGCAAAAATGGCTGTGCATAGCCTTTAGGAGGCTTTTAGAGTGCTTCTGGGGGCTGGGGATGGCAAAAATGAGCAACAAACGGGCCGTTTTTTGCTCATTTATGCCCCCCCAGCCCCCAGGAGCATTCTATAAGCCTCCTAAAGGCTATG